GTTTTTTAAGAAACATAAAATTTTATTATTTATGTTTTCAATTTATTATTACCGCTATTTTTAAATTTTTCACTTTTCGATTAGAGTTGACATTTCACATTATTTTATATTAGCTTCAGGTGTACAGAATAGTGGTTAGACATTCATATAATTTACGAAGTGATCCCTCTGATTAGTCTAGTACCCACCTGGCACTATACACCGTTATTTAGTTTTTGTTTTCAATAGAACATTTCCCCCAGAGATGTGGACACTGAATAGGAGCTGCTTGAGGAAGAGTCCTCCCTCCCCGACCTTTGCCTCTTTTTCCTTCTCAGGCTTGTCTCAGAGAATCAGAGGGGAGCGATTGCGAAGTAATAAGGCGTTAATAAAAAAGTGGATAGGATCTGAGAGTGAGTGACAAAGGATCCCTGCCTAAAAGCACGCCCTCTGTTGGCTGTCCATGCTGCCTGCAACTGCCACCATTAGCCTCTGTCGTTTGAGCTGAGCACCAGCCTCCCACAGACATTTGCTTTGACCCTGTGCCAAAGCAAATGTCTGTGGACAGTGGTCATATACAAACGTTCCCTTGTCTATGTCACCAGGTCGACCTTTGGATTAACCGCCTCAAAGGGCAGTCGCGGGTACAGCAATTGAAGAGCTACCTGTGGAGGAGAGTGTCTGGATTTGTGTCCAGGCACTACCACTTATTAGCTATGTCACCTTATGCCTCAGCTTCCTCACCTGTCAAATGGGGTTTGGTAGCACGTACCTGTAGGGCTGATGTGAGCAACAGGTATGGAGGTCCAGAAGACAGGCAGAACAGTGCCCAGCACACTGACCAAGGGCTTTGTAACTTAGGCTCTTATTGGTTAATGATAATTTGATGATGGTGTTTAAAGACCGAGGTGCTGATGGCAGAACCGAGACTGTGTGTGGTGCCACGTGAGGGGCCCTGGGTAGCCAGGGGAGTGACACAAGGGGCAGAGGAACCCACCTAATAAATACAAACTTTCTCTGCTTCGAGATTTTGTCCACAGCCTGAAGATTAATACAAGGCCTAAAATGTTGCAAAGTAACAATAGGCTGGAGTGGGGTCCCTCATGGCCCTTTATAATGTGCCCCCCAGTTTACCGCCACCATCACCACGCTCTACCGTCCCCAGAGCTGAGCCCATCGCTGTACCTTTTCATTGCATTTGTATACTTAAGAAGAACGTTAGATAGTGCATACGCCCTTGACTCTATCCAAAGTGGAGACATGAAAAAATGGGCTGAGAAGGGTGGTCTCTTTCAGTCAAAAAACAGGAGAGAGCATATTTCTTTATGGAAGAAAAAAGTGCTGTGTGTTTAGTGTCACCGCTTCTCTCCTCCAAGTTACCTGTCAGTCCCCTATCGGATTCTGAGCTGACAATTCCTGGCTGACACAACAGTTTGCTAGAGTTTGGCAACTAGAATAGAATGGGAGGAAATGCCAGCTTTTCCGCGATTTTGGTTTACTGTATATTAACAGGGTATACTTTTGAACATCTCCCTCTGAGCTCACGTAAGCCGCATCATGACATCCAGCAGCCTGGTGGCTTGACCTTTTTGTACTTGCGAAAACACTCGTGTGAAGATTGTGTGTACCTGGGGTTCCTTTTACGCCATCTAACCCTGGCAATCCTGGGAGGCCCGGAGGCCCTGGAACACAAGGACACTCTGTGCACACGTCACCTGGCTCCCCTGTAAAGACAGCACACGTATATTGCCCATAAACTCACAGCAAGTCTGCAGAAAAGACAGATGCACAATCGATTTCTTACATTAAATTTTTTTTCATGTAGTGAAAAACATCTAGGACATTTTACATATTAATAAAAAATCATTCCTCTATTATATCGGCTTACTTTTATCTAACTGAGCTTCTTTGTATTCTTAGAGAGGAAGTCCTAAGTCTCATATAAATCATCTATTATTTCAGTGTTTCTCTCCTTAAGTGCAGGATAAAACTCCCATGCTAGGACTATCCTACGATTTATTGCACGAGTGCTAAATAAATAACTGATTTACAGATAAATGAATACTTTTAACTAATTCTTTTGGGAAAGAAGCCATCCCCAAGCATCTGCTATTTGGGATCATCGTCTCAGTGGGACAAAATCAGTGATAATAATGGTGATGAGAACGACCTGATCTAACAGAACAGATGTCATCGATTGAACTGACCTTTGGGCCCTTCCACTCCTGGGATCCCCGGAGGCCCCACCTGGCCTGGAAATCCACCACCTCCAGGTGGGCCCTTGCGAAAAACGATGTCACCTGCAAAAAGACATCGCCAAAGCTAGGTTTAAAAAATTTAAGTGTTTTCTTTTTCAATTAGCAAGGGTTTTATTAATAAGGATTTCCCCCCATATTTGTGTTGGGAGCTGAGCCTTTCGAAGGATATCTGCCACTGAAAAGATCGAAAGAATGATGTGGACCAGCTTGTCCTTCCGCATGACACACGTGATACTTCATTGAAACTGATGCGGTGGTTCTTTGAGAATTCTTTATATGTCACATAATCAACTCATGTTACCTTATTCTATTATTTTCAATTACTTCAAGACTGTGTCTTTAGCATTTCCAGGCAAAGGGTCAAATCTCCTTCTGTGCGTATCAGATACATTGTACTTCCCTGATTATTGTAGATAGTTAATACATATTAAGTGAAAAAATTCCGACTCGGACATATTAATTAGAGACTAGAAGATGCCTCCTTTCACCTGTTTTCTCCTCATTGCTTGTTCACATCAATTGAGTTTGTCATTCTTAAAGCGGCTCCCCAAGAAAGCTCTTCCCAGTCTTCCACATATATCTGCTACTATAACGTTACAATGAATAGGTAACTCTTCTAAACTGTTGTGTTCTATGACCAAATTTTTGGTCTTGGGCCCATAGGTTGAAAACAATGCTGATGAAACTAAATATTTAAAAACAGTACCTATAGTTGCCTCAAGTTTCAGAGCAACAAGGTAACAGTGGAAACATTCAATTTAGGTGGAAGTGGTGTATGTTATACTATGTCTGCTTGACTACGAAAGGAATGTCCATTTTGTGATCCAGTTTTCCGCATCTTTAAGATGACTAAATACTTACCCATAAATGGTAAAATCTGATGACAGTTTTACGCTTAATGCAGGCTTATCAATATACTTGCACATTTATACATTTGTATGTATCTAATACATTCGCATACTCATTTCATACTTAATTCAACTAATCTTTGAGCACCTACAGTATTCTAGCCCCGTATGTCACAGCTGGGGCTTAAAACAGCAAACAAGACATAGCCCCTGACCTCAAGGAGCTTTGAGTCTTGTAAGGGAAACTGACAAAGACAAAGCAACGCGAAAAATCCTACAATCGGGATAAGCATGAGTGTTACAGGATGGGGGCTCAGTGAAAACTTTCTGCGGGGCTTAAACCTGAAGAAACAACTGGACAGACAGGTGTTGCTTAGACAAGAGAAGATAGCAAACCAAGAAAGTCTTGGAGTGGGGAGGGAGGTGTTCCATTGTAGGCATCCCAGGTCCAGCCCCGACATTCATCGGGTACAAGACCTATGCACGTCAGACTTGCCATTGATAAAATGAGGACACAACCTACATCTTGAGAAAGATGTGGAGGACCAGAAATTGTTAAAATCGCTGACACATAGTAGAGTTCTAGTTCAGTTTTGTTTTGCTCTGTTTTATAGTCTTGTTATTAGATATTTTATAGTCTTGTTATTAGATATTGTATCTAATTTTATAGTCTTGTTATTAGATATTATATCTTTTTATTAATGGGATAATTTCTTAAATTGTTATTGGCCTGAAGAAACACTTTTATCTTTTAAAAATGTTGCTCATATAACCAGACACTTATCTGAATTATCTTAGTAATACTAAGAGTTTTCCAGATTATTCTTTTGAGTTTTCTAGGTTTATAATCATATTGACTATAAATGTCTCTTAAAAAAAAAAACAAAAAACAAATTCCTGACACGTAGAAGATTCTTAAGGCTATTAGGAGGGCTGAGTATAAAACACAAGACTTCCCAGGTACCTACCAGAAAAGGTATTTTAAAAAGTGACCTATATTTTCATAGGTTCTATTGATGTATCAGCTAACATAGAATGCTAACTAGCTCTTTAGGGAGATGGAGAAGAAAGGACTTCTTCATCAGAACCTCCGGGTACCACTTCGAATCCTCTGGGCTGCAGCTATGTGGTCTCTGACCCACTTCACCTGGCAGCATCTTGCCTCATACCCATACTGTACACCTCTAGCCTCTCGTCCTGGGGCTCCCCTGATGTCAAGGCATGGAATGCCCTGAAAGCTAGGGGAACACATCCTGGAAGTGTGTGGGAGGTGGTTAGTTTAGTCTTGTCCGAGCACATCTTTCATCCCTGAGAAATAGGAGCTATTGGATAAATTCTTGCCTCTTTGTCCCCTGGGACAGATTATCCTGAGACAAAGTTTCACAGCTTCTTGGAAGACATTCTCCAGGGACTAAACAAGGAGTTGCCCTTAGCTTAGGCCAACTCGATAACCGTCCGTCCTACCCTGCTTCACGATCCTTCTCTGGTCCCTGCCTTCCACTCTGCCAGCTGTGGGAACTCAGGCTAAAAGCTTTGCTGCACTTGCAAAGTTGTCATTCTTCCAGAGTTGCTTTCACAGATAGCTAATAAAAATGAAACACCAAAGAAAAGGTAACTCATAAAGGCCACACAGGCTGGTGGCCAAGCTCCAAGCAGGGTCCACTGCCTCTGATTTGCACATATCTGTCATTGGGCAATGTACCCAAAAGGGCCCCTTAGGCTTCTTTACCTGGTGGTCCTGGAGGTCCCGGTGGCCCTGGGGGGCCTGGTGAACCAGGACAACCTGAGGACCCGGGAGACCCCACTGTATTCTCTCCTGGGGGTCCTCGCTCCCCTTTATTGCCTTTTATGCCTGGTGGTCCGGGGGCTCCTCTGAGGCCAGGCCTTGATAAACCTTGGAGAAAATAATCATTTTATTGTATTTAAATTTTTTCCGACTAATATGTTTATTTTTCAATTGCAAAATGTGATATATTCTGACTTATAAAAACTGCACAATTGAGAGATATATAAAGCATATAAAATAAAAAGCAAATTTCTTCCTTCCTTCACCTCTGATCTTGTTAAATTGCCACAGAACACTCCATTCCCACAAGGTAATTTATGCCATTACAAAAGACTGTAACAGAGTTTGGGATGCACTGTATCTTTTTATTTAAAAGCACTCCACGAGAAATTCTACAACATATGCTATTTTGTAGATTTTTTTTTTTTAATTAGAGACTAGAAGATGCCTACCTTGCAGTGTCCCAACTAAGAGAGAGAGAAAGTTGTAAGTGGACTTTATTCCTGACAATTGTCTTAGATATCAAAGGGCATTGAAGGGGCGGAGGCATCTCCTGGGAGAGAAGCCGTGTCAGGTGGTGCATCTGTCCTGCCTAAGATGACAAGGATGTGAGGACGGGGACAGTCTTGCATCTCTGCCTCAAAAAATAGTTTAACTGATAAAAAGAGAGACCTTACCATCAAACGGTTGAGAACACAGCAGGGGTAATGTCTGAATATTTCTGGCTATTAAGCATAAGGATTTTAGCATAAAGGTAAATGCCTCTAACTGACACTGTTTTAGAGCTTTGTAATTTCCACTCACTGGCTTGCTAAAGGAGCCTATTCATTACTGGGGGGCCTGGCAGGGAGGAGAAAGTCTGTAATCTTTGGCCAGACTTCTAAAATTCCCTTTACCCCAGTGCAACTTCAAGAGACACTGTCATCAGTTTCAGGTACATTTCTCTGCGTATATGCAAGTACACGTGATATTTATCCATTCATCAATTTTTTACAATGGGATTATAACGTACATATCATTCTACAATCCATTTAATTATAATTCATTTTAAAAATTATGAAATAGTTTAAATATACACGGTCTAGAGAAAAATATAATCAACGGTAAGGCTTATCAAATCTTTACTATTTTTTTCTTAGTTTCCTTTCCCTTACAAAATGACACAGTATAGCATTACAGTTATAACTGAGGCCACTGTGGAAGCATCCTTAACCCTCTTCTGCCTCTCTTGAGAGGTGACCATTCTAAGGACTCATGGACATTTTTACACTTTTAGGTAATTGGCTATGTATTCATAAGCAATATATTGTAAATTTTTAAATTGTACATAAAAAGTATAATCTATGAATTCTTATGCAACTTGTGCTGCATTATGCTAACTATCACTTTTACCCAAACTAATTACCATAAAACTATTGCTTTCTATCTCTGTGCCTTTGAGTTTCAAGGCTTTGGCTTAAACACCAAAGTTTCTGTCTTATACTTGGTCAAAGCCACTGAGGAGTAACAGAGAACTCTGCTGTAACGCTTCATGTCAACTTCTACTCTCCCTTCCACTGCAAGTCACAAAGGTAACAAGGAAGAATTTGCAAACACTTTTATACCAATTAATGAAAGATCCGTCTTATGTAAAGAATGCAAACTTACTAGAGAGCAGTGCATTTTCCTCTTTCATAGTATTTCTACCGATACCCCAAGAAACATGTACATACCGGGTTTTCCAGGAACTCCAGGAGGGCCGGTGGGACCTATGGATACGTAATAGTAATTAACTGCTTACGAAGATGTAAATACTCTTTTCTCTCCAGTTTTGAAATCTTCAGTGACAGTGTGATAATAATTAATATAAATATTTTCATACTTTTTCTCCACTCTCACTTAGATGAGTATTAGAAAACTTTACTCAGGCCAATGGCAGAGAAGAAACCAATCTTAAGATGTCTAACACTCAAAAATGAATCACGCTACTCGACCATTTTCAAGTAATTCAGAGGGATTCGCTAAGAGCCTCCTCTGTGTTTGACATTTTGCTGGGATGAATCAGATGCAGGAAAATCAATCAGATGAAATTAAGAATTTGTAGTTCGGTCTGGTGTTCCATCTCAGACCGCTTCTAGCTTTAACATTGCATTGAAAAAAAAATCTATATCTATGTCTATACTTATCTGTCCATTTATTTAAATACACTGGGACATTTTACTCTAAGTAAAATTCTCCTTTGCAATCAATCCTGTTTATAGCAATAATTTGCCTAGATCGGTGGTTCTCGATCCTGCTGCATGTTAGAATGATCCGAGTTGCTTTTATGACCTGCTGGTGTCCAGGGCCCTCCTCCAAACAATTAAATCAGAATCACAGGGATGGATCCTGACATGATCATTCGAGGTTCCTGGGGTTCTAGTGTGTAGCAGAGATGAGAGCTATTGGCCTAGACCTTTCTGATCTTTCAAAAGGGATAGAATATAAGTGTGTCTTTAATTTGTGGTATCAGGAGTCCAGAAACCAGGGCTTCAGTCCCCTCTTGTCACTATTTGTGTGAATTTGCTCAAATTCTAGCTTTTCACTTTTGGAATGCCACTGAATTAGAGATTTCTTACATTCTCCCATCTTGCCCTCTGACCATGCTAGTGTCTGCTTTGCCAGACTCGAACTCTATGATCGCCTATATAAAAATAATTTAATTACCTTCTGTAGTATTTTCATAAGAAAATTTCACATGAACTCTGACAATTTTGAAGTTATCATATGAAATTTGAAAATTTATGAAAATAGGAAAATTAGGAGACACCAAAAAATACCACCGACCATGAAAATTCGGAGACCTCTCTTCTCGCCCCTGCAAATTTTAGGTCTATGAGCACATGTCCACACTACCTTCAAAGAAAGACAGGGAAATGATCAGCAAATTCTTTAGGAAGAAATTTATTCTCACCCTGTGGGCCACGAGGTCCTTTGGGTCCTGGTGGACCTGGGATTCCCTCGTGTCCCTTTTCCTGGAATGCGTCATAATATTCTGTCTTAAAGGAAAAGAAATGAAAGAGAAAGGAAAACTATTTATGGACAGCTCATGGATGCAATTACTTTAATTTCTTCTTCTTTTTGGCTAAAACCATATTTTCCTTATTTTCTTCAATTCGTAAATTTGTGTGTTAGCAGAAATATAGTAGTCATCTATATGGAATAGCTAAATTTAGTTATTTATCTATGATTTTATTATTTTTTATTAAACTTGTTACGGTGACATTGGTTAATAAAAATCAAATAGGTTTCAAGCGTACAATTCAATAATACGTCATATGTATATTGCGTTGTGTATTCACCACCCAAAGTTAAATTTCCTTCCATCAGCAAATATTTAACCCCCTTTCCCTCTACCTCCCCCGTTCCCCTCTTCTCTCTGATAACCACTAACCCACTGTCTATGTCCATGAGTCTCTGTTTGTCATGTTGGTTTGTTGCTTTCAGTTTTATATCCCACATATGAGTGAAATCATATGGTTCTCAACTTTTTCTGTCTGATTTTTTCACTTAGTGTGATATTCTCAAGATTCATTCATGTTGTTGCAAATGGCAGTATTTCATCGTTTCTTATGGCGGAGTAATATTCTATCATATATATGTACTAATCTACTTTACCCAGTCATCTATCATAGGACACTTTGGTTGGTTCCACGTCTCGGCCACCATGAATAATGCTACTATGAACATCGAGGTTCATGTATCTTTGTGGATAAATGTTTTCAAATTTTCTGGGTAAATAACCAGAAGAGGGGTTGCTGAGTCATATGTTAATTCTATTCTTAGTTTTTTGAGGAGCCTCCATACTGTTTTCCATAGCGGCTATACCAATTTACATTCCCACTAGCAGTGTTTGAGGGATGGATAAATTTAAAGATAAAAGTTGATGTTTCTCGTATCATGATATCATATATTTCACGGGTTTTCAATTAGAAATACATTTGATGATGTGACTTAGCTCACACACTCACATTTACATATACACATACATACATATCTATGTATGTGAGACTATGTTTACAGAAATTAAATTTCACAAAATAGTGACTTACCAATATGACATGAGATCGACTCTGATATTTTTTACTCTATTCTTTTTCATTCCTTAAAAATTCTTGTCCTGATGGACTAAATTTATTTCAGATTATATTAGGACTCCACACATCAAATCGGACTATATCGATTGTTTCTTTAGATTTCAGGACACTATTGACCTGCAATAATTGAAGAGTTTCTGACATGCTCAGTGGACCTACTTCTGGCCTTCTTAACCATCTAGTTCCTAAGCAATTAGGAACTATTTCCTCTGAAATTAGTAGAAGTCTCACAGTTACATAGAATTGAGTGAAAGAAAACACACGGGAAGCTAGGAATACTTAGAATTCCTCTAAATGCCTCTGGCAAGTAGATATCAGTGAGAATTCAGCACATTTATCTTGAAGGAAAGAAGATGGAAATATAAAAGCTTTAAAAACCCCGTTTTGTTTTTCACATGCTGCATGGGGCCAATTACTTTGTTGCCTCGTTTAAAGATGATATAACAAGAGCTTTATGGTTAAGCAATATGTCTAAAATCACAAAAAAAGAATTCATAATAACAAAAATAATCACGCAATGATTTCCATCATAAAACCTGTAATGATGTGTGTGCACCTGCCGAGTGCTGACAAGTGCCTTCACAAAATAGCTCGTTTCATCTTCCTGGCAACTCCAGAAAATATTTTGGGACTTCTTGAATCTGAATCATTTGCTCGCTATGTAAGGATGCAGATTTCCAGGACCCTCCTCCAGTTACTGAGTTAAGTCACTTGGCCTGAGGGGTCTGAGAACTGCATTTGTAACAGGACAGGCCCTTCCTCATCTTACCACATGGCCTGTTCTGCATACACAAAATGGCAGCCCTGCTGAGCACACCATGCGTGAGAACTGTTGTCTTTTGAGACAAGAGTTGGACAGCTACCAGAACTTGAGAGTCTGGGTCCCCTTTACTCCTCTCTTTAAGCTACAGACTCATAGGATAAAGAATGTGGCTGCCCTGGCGCCGACAGCAAATCCATGTCTCCACTGGAGAGGGGAGGCTGCCTGCCGTGATGGGGGCTGGGCTGAGGTCACTGTTTTCTTGCTGGCCCCGCATTAACCCGCCGTGGAGCTTCCGCTTCCTGAAGGTGCAGGAGCTGTCATAACCCGGCCCAGCTGGAGGGGATGGGGCTGGCTGCCTCACCCCTGGGTGGTCGCTGTCCTCACTGCAGCCCTCCTTCTCCACTCAGGACATGGATCACCCAGGGCCACGTCTGATTAGACGAAGGTTTTCTTTCTCTCCACAGCCCAGGATGGGCATTACCCGTGCATTCCAGAGACCAAATAGGACCAAATAGAAATATTTGTCCATTGCCAAATGGACAAAAAATGCCGACAGCTAATTTTTGGGCCCTGGTTTGATAAAAAGATAAATACTAGACTCTCTGTCATAACAGTTAATGAGAGACACTGATTCAAAATTTCCCTGATATTTGGAAGGACTCGATCAAACGCGACATCGATATTGTCCTTAATGACACTTACTGGACCACGAAATCCTGGAGGGCCAATGTCTCCTTTCCACCCCTATGGTGAAAGACAGTTACAAAGAATGAGTACATTGACCCAAAGTATTTACATATTTCGTATACCTGAAAAGCAAAATGCAGTTAAACAGTAAATCACTGCTAAAGGTAGTGTTATTTTGATGTAACGCACAAACCACGTTAAAGGGAGAGGGACGTCACGTGAGATTATTTTCCGGGAGGGCCGTGTCAGGGTCCAGAACCCTCTCAACAAGACCCGGAAGCAGTGGTCATTGTTCTGCTGGTTCTCCAGGTTTCCTCCACGCCACTGCCTTCAAAGGACACCTCCATGCATTGCATACTCCCAAGCGCTCACCCAGAGTAGAGGCCCAAAACCTGGCTGTGTGCTGTATGCAGCTTCCAGTGACCCAACTGTCACCAGCTCCCTCTCTTACCAACTCCAGAGGGCATTTCAGAATTCTACTGGAAGTGATATTATATAGGATAAATCTTGAATTTGCACATATACCTCCATGTGAAAATTATTTGGAAATGTCTGTAACATGTTATCGGGAAGAAGTGACATGGAATACACATCACATCACAATTAACTGACGGTGACCTTTTAGTGTATAGAGACCCAGCTTGAGGCTCATGGGGCCCACCCAGCCTGCACTTGACCTCCAGTGACCAGAAACTTCCTATAATTGCAAGCCTTTTCCAACTCCTTCCTCATGGGGAGCTGAAAGCTCACTGGCCCTAAAGTCAGCCAGCTTCTGCTCCATAGAACAGGTTTAATATCTGTTGCACAAGACCGCCCTTCAAGTGTTTAAGTAAAGTTGCCACATCTCTCCTCTCTTCTTAAGTACACTAAGGTATTTTAATGAACTCTGGTTGTAATTCCTTGTACCCAGTCCCAGGGTGTGGGGAGAAAAGAGTGGGCAAGACCTAACCAATTAAAAAGGGCGGAAGACAGGACATGAGGCAGTGGATTACCTTAATGCCATCCTCGCCAGCTAACCCAGGGAGGCCCCTGTCGCCTTTGGCTCCCTAGGGAATAGAGCAAGGGGAATGGGTCAGAAGACACACAAATCGACTTCTGTAGGAAACAGAACAGTTTGAACTCTTTCTGAAAAAAAAAAAAAAGCTCAGTCGATCTTTCTACACAGTGAAAAACTATCATTCTCCAATGTGATTTTAAAAAAAACGATATGCTTTTGGTTACTTTATAAGTACTCAGTGACTCTCAGAAATCCTTCTTCATCTAATAGGACTGACATTTTCACCACAACATTGGGTAAATTATGTCTTTACCTCTGTGCCAGGAAAACCTGGGGCACCATCTTTTCCAGATTTTCCCTAAAACAAACAAAAACAAAAACATGTAATTTAATAAATGTGGATGACTTTAATAAACATGGAGAACTTAAGTGATATCATCATTTCCTCTTGACCTCAGCCAAGAAAGTCTGAGCGAATTTCCTCATCCAGTTATTAGAAGAGAAAACTATTATTCACAGAACACACAATGACTTTCTCTTGCCAGGAAAGGCAAAAGCCAGCCGGACTGGGAAATTAGGGAGGATCAAAGACATAAAGAGAAGAAATCAAGAGCTAAGCTTAAACTAGAGTTGATTCTGTCCATCCAAGTTTGGAAGGAAAATCAAGGGAATGCTGAGCCCAAAAGTGAACAAGGAAAGGGAGGTGTTTACAGTCAATTTATTTATTTAAAACAGTGGCATTTCTCCAAACCTTAGAAGTTCCTATGTTTAAATATATCTATAAAAGGTATATGGCGTTGTCCAAACAGACAGGGTTTTCAGAGTAATTATTATAGTACTTATTCTCCATGATAAAATTAAAAATCATACTGGTCGAATATTTTTTTTTTTAAGGAAAAAAAATATACTTTTCCCAGTGTATAATTTTTAGAGTTTGAAAACAACATATGTGTTTAAATCTTTCCAAAGTAGAGCTAGGTGGAAGAGAGGTCGTTCTGTCTTCCCAGCACCCCACTTTTCATCACTGTGAGCCCCATGTCCTTGGGGGAGCTGTCCTCCCCTCACTTTGTGTGGTTCTGATGGGGTGGGCAGCCACAGTACCTGCTGCCCTACTGCCCTGGCCCATCATAATAATACCTTTCCCTCCTGGCCATAGTCGCTTTTCCAGCTTGAGACCCAAGCTGGGCCAATCATGGTGGGATTGTATATATGGACACAGGGATTTTATATATGGACGCTCCCTCTCCTCGGATGTCAGTAAGCTGAAGTGGTCTGTCGCTACATCCCTCCTTTTTTCCACATCACCTCCATGGAAGAAGCTTATCTGTGAAAGGAGAGAGCGAGGCTGATACACGGGGAGGAGCGGAAGTGAAAAGGAGAGAGAGAATCCTGCCCATGTTGTTTCAGGCTCCGAAGTCCTTGAAGCCTGTGTTAGCCTTGAACTCAGGGACTTGAAGAAATAAATTCCACTTCCTAAAACTTTAAAATTTAGAAAAGATCTAATCCAGTTTGAGTTGGGCATCTTATGCTTGCCACCTAAAGGGTCCTAAACACTGATTAAGGTAGGCTGCCCATGACACTGAATTTCCCAGTTTACCTGTGGGCCAGGATCTCCGGGAGCACCTTTTTCTGATCCATAAGATTCTCCAGGTGGTCCCTGTAGTAATGAGAACTATGTCAAGTTTTATGAATGATTGGTTTTTGACTTACATTGAATTTTATTAACTTTACCTTTGTGATTATTCTATTTAAAAATGTTGAGATGATGGGTCATCTAAGAGGCAAATCTTATGAATATTAATTTAAATTTAAAAGATGGTAAAAAAAAACAGATGCTGAAGATAAATTCTAAGACGGCAACATTAGGTGTATGTAAAACAGTGCAAGGATTTCAGCTAGAAGTGGCCAATATTAATATTTAAACATAGATCAGATATCAAAATATGCACTAAGTTTCTACTTTATGTTTCAAAGGAACAGCATGACACTAAATGACCTACTGAGGGTCCCAGAGGTCCAGATTGGCCCGTGGCTCCCTTGTCTCCCTTCTCCCCCTTGAGGTCCTGCCATGAAAACAATTCAAGGTCATTACGAAAAGATCAATCAGGATTTTACTGATTATACTTGGAAAAGTCCTCTATCTGTTCAGTATACTGGATTTACCAACAGCTCATGTTATTTCTTATTAACACAACACATTATCATTTATCACATTTTGAATTTTATACCCACGAACCTACTGAAATGATATGCAATCTTTTTTTATTTTTTTAAAGAAAATCTCCTTTGGATCAAACTACATTAATTTAATTTCTGAGTCAGCTTTCCATAAGCACAATATATTTCTAATGTATTTTACCTTCCTTTTTAATATACTGAAATGATTTTCATTGTGGTCAATTATTTTCGGAGTACATGTTACATGAGGATTTGATTTATTAATCAATTTGTTGTTGCCTTTATCACATTTTATTAATTATGTTTTTCCCAGCGTGAGTCTGGGAGCATCATTTTTTTCAAACTTCAGAGCATCATTTTTTTCAAACTTATTTTCTCCAGGTCATGTCTTCCAGATCTAGATTTTGTCAAGATAAGATTTTTTCCATCAATTTTCTAATAAAGTTTTAGACTTTATTAATTTCATTTTGGTTAATTACCACTGAGAAGTTTAGTTATTTTCCCTCAGGTCAATTTTTCTCCAATCTTTAATGTCAGTGAATATTTTTGTCATATCAAATTTCACTATGTTTTGTTTTCACTCTTGTTAGTTTTGTTTTGACAATTTCTATAATTAAAAATTAATTATATTGGAGAGTGATTGCTAAGGAGTTTCTTTCTGGGGCAATGAAAATATTCTAAAATTAAATGTGGTAATAGCTGCAAAACTAGGAATATACTAAAAGCCATCTAATTGTACACTAAATAACTCAGTTTTATGGTCTGTGAGTTATACCTAATAAAGCTGTTAAAAATTCGTTATAACTAAAACCCACGAATTGTATACTTTAAGAGGTGAATTTTATGGCATGTGAATTATATCTCGATCGAGCTATTATTAAAAAAACAATTGATTATAAGTCTAAACAATAAGGATGGCTTATGTTTATTTCTTAGTTAATCCACTAGAAAATTGCTAGTTACCCCCTCACTTTCCTATTTCCCCCTTCCAGACATTTTAGGGATTGATGTGTTACATTGTGATTCACTTCTGAGCATTGGATCTGGTTCCATACCCTGGTCCTAACAGCAACTCTGCCCTGAGAGCAAAAAGCAAGTTAATGTAAAAATAACAGGGTCATAGTGTCCTTGGAGAGGAATGGGGACCAAGTTGCCCTTGAATTACAATGGCAGGATGAAAATGTCCCGGACGATTATGATGCCCCCCCACCCACATCTTTAGGTTATTACCATCCAATTGGATCAGAGCTGCACACACATTTTGTTCTCATTTATTCAGAAATACTCACCGAATACCCACTCTGCGTGAGGGACAGTGAGAGCGGGGAGGGGCGTAAAGGGTGAGCAAACTTAACCCCGGGTTCTACCTTCAACAGTCTTGGAAGTTGCATGCCCCAGACTTTCCCCGTTCCACATTTTCTGGTTCAGGAGTAAATGATAGAGAAGGAATAAAACCCAGAGGCTCAGGAAGTCTGTGAGGGCTCATCTGAGCTGGGCTGAGATGAAAAGAACTTGGGAAGGCAGAACCCTAATGATGAAACCGAAGTTACCGTTCTGTTATCTGGGCCCGTCAGCGTCACGATCACGGTTCCCGGTAGTCCAGGGGGTCCTGCCAGTCCTTTCACGCCCTAAAGACAAGTACACTCAAGAGTTAAAAACGAAACAACACCTCCTCTATCAAAGAGATGTACGTTTCCCCTTTAGTTCTTTCATAAGAAGATAGAGCAAACGGAAGTTTGAGAACTTAAAATATCTTGACCACTAATAAACCATATTATTGGAATTACCCGCTCTCCTTTTTGTCCGATCATGTTATCTCCCATGTGTCCCTGGAAGAAAGGACAAAACTGAATTATTTTTTAAGAAAGAGTATGAATAAATAGTCTAAACCCATGAAAGTTCCAATATTTGTAACTGAAACTTCATATTTTAACGTTTTTTTCTCCTGGGGTCACAATTTCCATTTTATTTCTTCTTAAAATAACATATTCTTTTCTAAATTAAAGGGTAGTTGATATACAATATAATATTAGTTTCAGGTGTGCAATATAGTGATTTAATATTTATATATCTTACGAAGTGATTGCCACGAAAAGTCTGTCACTGTACAAAGTTTTTACGATATTATTGACTGTATTCCCTGTGCTGGACACTATGTCCCCATAACTTATTTATTTTATAACTGGAAGTTTGTACCTCTTATATCCCTTCACCTTTTCTACCCTCTCCCTCACCCCTCTGGTAACCCCCAGTTTATTCTCTGTATCTATGAGTCTGTTTCTGTTTTGCTTTGTTTGTTCATTTGTTTTTTGTTGGTTCATTTGTTTGATTTTACATATAAGTAAAATCATACAGTATCTGTCTTTCTCTGTCTTATTTATTTCACTTAGCATAATACCCTCTAGATCCATCCATGTTGTTGCCAATGGCAAAATTTCATTCTTTTTTATTGCTGAATAATATTCCAGTATATATATCATGTCTTCTTTATCCATTCATCTATTGACAGACACCTAGGTTGCATTCCCGTCTTGGCTACTACAAATAACATTGTCATAAACAAAGGAGTGTGTCTTTTCAAATTAGCGGTTTTTTGTTTTTGTGTTTGTTTGTTTGTTTGTTTGTTTTCGGATAAACACCCAGAAGTGGAATTGCTAGGTCATATCGTTATTAGATTTTTAATTTCTTGAGGACCCTCCATCCTGTTTTTCATAGTGGCTGCACCAATTTACAATCCTACAAACTGTGAGAGTTCCCTTTTCTCCACATCCTCACCAACACTCATTATTTGTTCACTTTTTGATAAGAGCCATTCTGACAGGTGTGAGGTGATAGCGCATTATGGTTTTCATTTGCATTTCCCTGGTGATTAGTGATGTCGAGCATGTTTTCATATGTCTGTTTGCCATCTGTATGTCTTCTTTGGAGAAAGTTCTATTCGAGTCCTCTGCCCATTTTTTAATTACATATTTGTCTTTTTTGCTATTGAGTTGTAAGAGTTATTTATATATTTTGGAATATTAACTCCTTATTAGATATGTCATTTACAAATATCTTCTCTCATTTGGTAGGTCGTCTTTTCATTTTGTTGATGGTTTCCTCCACCGTGTAAATTGTTGCCCTTGCTTGAGGAGACATATTAAAATATATTGCTAAGACGGATATCTAAGAGTTAATTGCCTGTGTTTTGAGTTTTTTGATTTCGGGTCTTAAATTTAATTCTTTAGTCCATTTTGAGTTTATTTTGTATATAGTGTAAGAAAGTGGTCCAGTTTTTTTTGTTTTTTTGCATGTATCAGTCCAGTTTTCCCATTACCGTTTATTGAAAAGACTATCATTTCCCCATTATATCTTCTTGCCTCCCTTGTCATAGATTAATTAACCAAATCAGCTTAGGTTGACTTCTGCACTCTCTATTTTGTTCCATTGATCTATGAGTCTGTTTTTCGTTTGTTTGTGTTGGCTAGTACCATGTTGTTTTGATTATTATAGCTTCGTAATATAGTTGGAAAGCAGGAAGCATGATACTTCCAACTTTGTTCTTTATAGTTTAATTTTAGTGTTAGAATTATATGTTATTTTAGCTATTTTTTAGAGTAGAGTGACAATATGTTTTTTAAAGTGGAGAAATTGAGGTGCAGAAAGTTTAAGGAATTTACTTAATATGGCAAACGATGACATGAGATAGTATGGGGTAGGGGAAGGAACCCAGCTCAGAGGACATTTTTCTGGCTTATCTGCTAACTAGTTTTGATTCCACTGGTTGGTTACTAAACTTCCTGATGCCTTAATTTTCTTGTCTGAAAAATAAGAGGGATGGGGAGCTGAACTTTAGGAGTCTAAAATTGAAGTTTAGGAGTCTAAACTTCATAGAGAAGCTAAGAATAGCATTAAACTACTTGACATCACTAGTTATTTAGTGACATGAGACAGTCCAATGTGAAGAGTCTGTCTTCACTAACGATGGCCAACCATCATTTCAACCAATGTCTTCTTGCTTTTTTGTTCTGCAGTATGCAGATCTTACCGCCGTTAGCCCACAAGGTATAGAGAAAAGCTCAAGATAAAGACTCAAAGCACTTTAAGCATCAGCTCTGCCATTTACTGTCTCTGACAATTCAGTAAACCCGAACCTATCCATTTCAGTGTGTGTATGTGTGTGTGTGTGTGTGTGTGTGTATAAAATAATACATGTGAAAGCACCCACCCCCAACACAAAGACTACCTGATAGTATGAGATACTGTGTTGACCACTAATTTTCTGGTGGGGTTCAGCCTCTCCCAACATTTTCTTACTTAAATTAATAAAGGGAATTAGAACACAGTGCCCCAAAATACACTTTAGCATAAGGATTATTTTGAGCTGAAGGCAGTTGAAGAACAGCAAATCAGCAAATGCAGAAAAATGTCCTCCACCCTCCCCTTATCTGCCTAAAGACAGGGTATATAAATCTCCCTTTGCGAGGGTGTCAAGCTTCCCCTCTCCTGTGCCAGGAAGAAGGGACAACTGTTACCACCGGAGGCAGCTCTGACTAAAATCTGCATAAACAGAACTTATTGAAATAACCCTTTTCTTCCATTAGTTTCTCCCATATATTTACTTTCTCACAAACTGAAACCTTTCTCCTTCGTACTGTCGCTTCTCTACAAATGTACTGCCCTTGGTGAGAATGGCACACAAGCCTCTGAAATGTGACCGCCGCTTTGGGAATTTTCATTTCATTTCTGTGAGCAACCCCCCGCCCCCCACCTCACCAAATGCATATGAAATAAACGTTTTTCTCCTGTTAAGCTGGCTTTTGTCGGTTTAATTTGCAGGGCCCCGGGCACTGAACCTAAGAGAGTAGAGGAATAAGTTTTTCCTCCCAGACACTAACAATTGGTCTTTTAAATAGAAACATGCACGATCCCGCCTAATGAGTGCATGCGTGGTCATCTTTTATCAATTAACGTAAGATCAGGTTGGTTTTGGGAAACAGCCCACAATAAAAATCTATAGACCAAAGTGCTGGGTGAATGGTAGGATTATCGGAAATGAGAAATTTATGGACTAGCGATCCTGGTCCTTTTTCTGATAAGGAGCCCCTTAGGATTGAATTGAGACTCTGTGTATCAGGGCTCAGTGACTGAAGGGCAGGGAGAGGAGAGTTAAGGGGTGCAGAGGCTCCAGCCATGCCGCTTTCCGGCCGGGCACCCTTTTACACTTCTGGGAGGTGCCGGCCGTTCCCACATGTGGAATCAGACGGGGTGAGGCATTCAGACTGACTAGGGTGTTCTGGCTGAGACGACGTATGAACTGTAATTTACCTTAAATCCTGGAGGCCCCATGGTTCCTGGAAAGCCCTAAAAATAAATAAATTAATTAATTAAATAAATACTAATCCACAGATTAAAATGACAGCAGGAAATGCACCAAGTCAGAAAATCCTGTTTTAAAATGAGCTCCAATTCTATTATTAGTTCACAGTGTCTCCAGCAATGGTGACTTCGTACTCACAAAGAATCCTGGAGGGCCAGGTGGGCCGACGGGTCCGGGAAAACCCGGGAGGCCTGGCAAACCCTATAGATTAAGAGATGAATAAGAGTAAGTTTAACTGTACTTCTCGCCTAAGAACAATGTCCATTAGTTCAGTGCATTAAAATATTTTAATAGAATCTGAGGAGCCGCGATGCCTTCGATTGATGGCGGCAGTTAATTATAATAAATGCCCCAAAGAGTGTTGCCACGTGTAACGGGCTGTACTCTGGAAAAATGACCAGAGCAGTTGCTTTACTTTAGAAGAGCTTTCAAAATTAAAAAAAAAAAATTTTCACCTCTCTCTCAGACCCTGTTGAGTGTGCTCCTACCTTGGGCCCTTTTACCTGCCTTCCCTCCACTGGAATCCTCTTTCCCCAGAGGTCAACATAACTCACTGTCTCTCCCTGCCCTTATTTTTATTCGAATGCCATCCTTTCCATAAGCCTTCCCTGCCTGTCCAATCTAAAGCTAGCCTAGATTTCCTATCTCTGTCCCTGTATTATTTTTTCCCTTGGCATTTATTACTATCAAACACTCCACACACTTACTAATTTACATTTTTTTCTCCCTTTTTACCCACTAGAATGTAAATTCCATGAAGACAAAAAATTTTTTAAAATTACATTTTGGGTGATCTGTACGCTGTGGTAGCCTGGAGTCTAGAACAGCCGCCGGCACATAATTGGCACGTAATTAATAAATATATCTCATGTAAGTGAGTGTCCTCTCTGCTCTGTCTTCAGCAATAGCACAATGTGATACAGAGCTGACACTCAATTCACATTTAAGAGAGACACACATGCCCCAGACTGCTACTGTCCCCTCCCACGGCATCCCCTGCCCTCGGCATCTGCCCCTAAAATGTTTTCTACCCAAAAAACCAAGAGGCACGATATTCTGTATCTTTTCCCAAAAGCCTATAAAGGCTTCTAATTGCCTCCTTCTGCAGTTACGCAGCTCACCATCGGCTGGCGTGGCTCGCTGGGTAGGAGTTCCACAAGCTTAACTCAAACTCGGACTCATCTAGACAAATATCAGTCTCCACTCAGGAATTTACACATGTGCTTCTGCGCTAAGTTAACGTATTTCTGGTTCATTAACCTGAAAGTTTAAATGACTCAGATCTACCAAAAGGTTCTTTTGAATCACCAGGTAAAGCACATGTAGCTCCCATCCCCCAAATAGGTAAGTTTCTTTGCATCCATTCTGGATTCTACCTCACCTCTCCCCTCACCCCCCAGACCACATATACATAGATCGGAAAGCAAATTATTCGACAGGAGAAAGATGCATTTAAATCCTGCCAGTCATGCAAATTTTGCAATATAGCTGTTATCTAATATTACAGTTTTAAATGTGTTCAATATATGATACAAATCTAGTCTTGATTTTAACAAATACAGAGGAAGTGCAACGATTTTTCCTAGAAGATTCTACCTCAGATTTAAGAAAGCTTGGGTCACCGACTTAAGAAGACATGAAAAGACATCTGCATAAAAACATCTTATATCAGCTACATGCAGTTTCTTAGAATCAGGCGAATGTTTGAGAATGAAACGAGGTGGGTATATAAATAGGAGAAATATGAATGTACATTAAAAATGTTCTTAAGGGTGTGAGAAAAAGATATAGAGGGAAGGAGAAAAGAGAGTGAATAAGAGAGAAAAGAGAGAGAAAGAGTCACACAGAGAGACAGAGAGAAGAAAAAGGAAAGGGAGAGAAAGACAGAGAGAGACAGAGAGACAGCTAGAGAGAGAGAGAGAGAGAGGGGAGGGGAAGGAGGAGGAGGAGGAGGGGGGGGGGAGAGAGAGAGAGAGAGAGGAGAGGAGTAAAAGGGAAGGGAGGGACTGAGAACCACAGGCCTCGTCTCCCCAGGGCTTGTACCTGGAATCCTGGAGTTCCTGGCCACCCGGGGTCCCCTTTTCCATCGAGTTAAAAAACCCTCAAAAATGAACGCGTTCATCAAACATAATTAATGTCATATTTTCGAAACCCCTTTAAATGCTTATCCAAGGTCCAGCCGCTTCAAGAATAAAAGTACTTTCTTGTGTGGACTATAAAGGGGCTACGTAATAAACCTGACGAGCTCAGGGACCAAAAGTAACCAGGTGGGATGGTCCGATCACAAGTTCCTAACTGGACAGGCCGTGGCGGACAGTCAGGCCTATAGTTTCCTTAGCAGAGGTCAATCTTTATCGTAGATGAGCTTTGTCTGGTGCTCTTATGCATCTAGGATAACATACCTTTGAAATGTGAGAGTAATTTTCTTTTCTAGACCCCTTGAAGACATAACTGCAGGCACCAGAGCACAAGACCACAGAGCCCCTCATTTCTATCTTGTTGCCCACGTCCCATCTCTATGTGCTGTAAACAGTGAACATGAACTATCCTGTATCCACCAGCGTAAAAGAAGTATGTGTTTCTCCATTTTGATTTTTATCCAATCTTAGAGATTTCCCTGTGTTGCTTTCTCCCACCTCCTTAATCTGCCACCAATGGATTTCATGTACCTTTCTTACGTCTCCTCCTTTGATTCTAAATGCATGAAAGGAACTACAAAACCGCCATTTCCCGGAGCATTTTCTCAATCCATTGAGATCATTCTTCCGGGTGTGTACTCAACAATTTGGCTCAGATAAACTCTTATGAAACTTTTCTATACGTTTGCATATTCTTTCTTTGACTCCCGGATACATACTTAGAGAAATGGTTTAGGATTATGTTGCTACTCCGTTTTGAAGAATTCAAAGCATTTTCATATTTTATAAAATTAACAATTTATTGTGGAAGGAAGAAAGACCCAAGGATGCTAAACCATTTTCCAAGATACCAAAATTCGTGGCAAGTCCTGATCTAGAATGTGGGTCCCCAAGCATGAGGTCAGCTCTTTCCTTTAGTTATGAAATCTGATTTGTAATTACTTATATCTCATTATTTAATAGAAGTTCTTTTCATATGTGCAGTTAGAGGTTTGCGATAATAATACGCCACATGTGACTTACCTTTTCTCCTTTCAAGCCAGGAGCACCCTAGGAGAAGGAGCAACATATTAACTGGAGGCAAATCAAATACACAACATCTCTGCTTTGTCCTGCTCTCTGCTATTCTGCCTCCTCTCCCGTCTGTGAACTTCCTGCTGGCTTTAAAACAAGCTCAAGTATCTCTGATTTCAACAAAGGCTTCCCTAATCTCCCCTGCCCCTGCAATACTGCCCTGCCTCTCCTTCATGCCCTCTGCAAACTTCCTGTCCTGGTCACTTCTCATTCACTCTTCAGTCCCACTCTCCATCATGGAAGTCCCCCTTGCCAAGGTGTGTAATGACTCTGACATTGCTAAAAATCAATGACTAAGTGTCGGTTCTCATCTTACTGGAGTCACAGCAGCATCGGGCAGCTGTCTGCCACTTGTCTCTACCGAATCATACCTTTCTTGGGCTCGGCAATGGACCCCTCCTGGCTTCCTTCCACCACGAGGGCCTCTCCTCCTCTCCAGGCTCTTTCTCCTTGACCTAGACATGACATGCTGCAGCTCTCTGTCTCGGTTCTCAGCCCCCTTCCTCTGCACCCTCAGCTCCTTGAGTCAGCCCCGCCCCGGCCGCCCCTCTGCCTATGACGCGGCTCCACCGTATGCCTTCGAAACAAAACAGTCTAAGTGCAAACCTGAACTCATCAGGCGTTTGCTCATTCAGTCTCCAACTATCAGCTGAATGTTTACTATCAGCTGCCCCGGTTGTCCCCAAGTCGTGATGGATTTGCCCATTCTGGATTAATCACTTATATTTATACTTTACGTTTTTGATGGAGAGTCGGAAATGCAAACCTACCAGGATCCCTGGGTAGCCTGGTGTCCCACGAAGTCCCGGAAACCCTCGGTCGCCCTGGAAGACACACAAAGCTTGTCATTCTTAGTTGTTCTAAAGCAGCCTGTGGAGATATTTCCTTGTTTCTCTCTCTCAGCTCTGCCGTGGTAAACCTAGACAAAGTAACTTAAGTTTCTTATGGCTACTGGGTCATGAGGCTGAAAGCCAGAAAACCATTATCTTAATTGAAAACAGGATTAGAATATCTTGTTTCTCAAATTGTGCATTAATGGCAAAAGTCTAATTGTGCCAAGAACTTTTTAATTGCTGTCTCCTTGAAACTTTAGTAATTAGTCCTTTCAAGGCCACCATCTGGGGAAAGGAGAACAAAGGAGACGGCGGGCATCGAAACGCTCAGTCATACTTTTCCAAAGACATTTTGCATTCTGAGATTTATCTACATTCACAGCCTCAGTTGAAAATACCCGGTTGAGCTCCCAGTTATCTTTGTGTGGGAGAACATGCAAGAACTTCCTCAAAAGACGATCAGAACACGAGGCATGAGAAGAAAGAAAATAGGAAGGATCCTGATTAAACGTCACATTTCTGCCCCGAAGATATGTGCTGTTGGCTCTGGCTAAAAGAATATTTCAGGGAAAGTTTATCCCATCTCACTGCTACTTTATCCTGATTGATTCATTTGGTAAAGCATTCGGTAATCACCACCCGTGTAGGAAGTATGTACCTTAGAACCATTGCATCCTGGTAAACCAGCCATTCCATAAGGTCCAGGATGGCCCGGGGTGCCCTGAAAACAGAGCGAATTTCAAAAAGGAGACGTAAGCACCAGGCCCCAGGACCAGGTGGGAATAGCGAAGAGGCCAAGTTATAGGGAAAGGGGTGCTAATTTAGATAGTTATTTAAATCTAAATGGTTATTTAAATAATTAAGGAGCAAATGTAGTCATTTTAGAAAATCATTTAAATAAAAATCATAGCAGATAAAATGAGTTAATTAAAACAATGAATTATCAAGTGAGATACAAATATTTTACATTAAAAGAAGGCTTTTCTTTATAAAATGAAATAACATGCTTTTTTTACGTTTAGAGTTTGGGTTGAGGTTAGAATTAGGGTTAAAGGTAGAGTTGAGTTTAAGTATAGGGTAAGGTTTTTTTTTCTTTTCTTTAGCTTTAAAAAATTAAATTATCGAGATGACATTGGTTAATAACATTATCTAAGTTTCAAGTATACAACTCTGTAATACATCATCTGTACATTGCATTGTGTGATCGCCGCCCAAAGTCCCATCTCTCTCCATCACGATGTACCCGACCCCGCTACCTTCTTCATCCTCCCCCCACCCAGCCCCATTCTCTCTGGAACCAGCATTCTGTTGTCTGTCTATGAGTTTGTTTGTGTTAACATGCTCCGTTAAGCTGGAAGGGAAAGAAAGGAAGAAGAAGAGGGACATGTGTACAGAGGTAACTATTCCATAATTATATGTTATTAAACAGTATCCTATCCCACCCTACCCTACCCTACCTTACCCTATGCTACCCTACCTTACCCTATGCTACCCTACCCTACCCTACCCTATGCGCTACTCTATCCTATTCTATCCTATCCCACCCTACCCTACCCTACCCTATGCTACCCTACCCTACCTTTCCCTCTGCTATAGTATCCTATCCTACCCTACCCTACCCTACCTTACTCTATGCTACCCTACCCTACCCTATGCTACCCTACCTTACCCTATGCTACCCTATCTTATCCTATCCTATCCTATCCTATCCTATCCTATCTTATCCTGCCCTACCCTATGCTATGCTATCCTATCCTCTCCTATCGTACCCTACCCTACCCTACCTTACCCTATGCTACCCTGTCCTATTCTATCCCACCCTACCCTACCCTATGCTATAGTATAGTATCCTATCCTATCCTATCCTACCCTACCCTACCCTATGCTACCCTATCCTATCCTACCCTACCCTACCCAACCCTACCCTACCCTGTGCTACCCTACTCTGCACTACCCTACCCTAACTTACCCTCTGCTATAGTATCCTATCCTATCCTACCCTACCCTATGCTTGTATTTCAGGAAATACAATTTGATCGTAGCTGTACGTCCTACCAATTCACACTCTATTTTGTGATTCTACTGTGCCATTTCACCATGTAGCAAATTTATTAGTACCCATTGCCTTGTGCTATTTCTTTAACCTTCTGATTAAAATGAGCTGACTTTATTTCTCCAGTTACACATTTTCCGCATTACTTACTGGAAGTCCGGGAGGACCCGAAAATCCTGGTAATCCAGTTATTCCCTAAAGACATAGAAAAGGGGAAGGGTGGCGAGAAAAACACTTTTAAAATGTTCAACCTATAAACAGAAAATCATTTCCCATTCCAATAATCCCATCCTGCAACTATAATTGGAAACGGCTAAAAACTATTTGAAAAACAGAAAAAGGCTGACAAACCTTTGTAAATCTTACGTTTACATAACATTAAAAAAGATGATTAAGATTGTTTTTGGCTTGGCGGGGGTAGGTTTTAAAGGTACAATTTGATGACAGGACAGAGCTCCAGTCTTCCATGAACACTTTGGTGAGTGTTTATGACCCGTGCATATACACGTAAAACTTCTCCACTCCAGATGGCCCTCATCCTCCTCTCAGTAGATTGATACCCACCCCCACAGTCAACACTGTTTTCACTTCTACCATTAGAGATTAGTGTTACCTGTTCTTGAACTTCCTCTATATAACTGTACCATACACAATGTACTCCTCTGTGATATTTGCACAACTTCTACAGTGCAGAGTTCTTTCCTTTTTTGAAAGAAGAATTTTCATCAAACTATCAAGGTGGACTGGTTGGACTACTAACCCTTACACCTTTGGGACCAGTGAGTCCTGGAAGTCCTGGAGAGCCCTAGATCCAAATGAAAACACAAAAAGGAACACTGTGAAAATCATTCGACACGAAGGAACCCATAAATTAAAGCACCCCCCACCCCCAGTTTTATTCACACTCCCAACAGTTTTGCTCCTGTGATTATTTCATTGTTAGCATGGTTCGATGAATGGCTTGTTTCGTTGAGCAAAAATATTGATCAGAAAGGACAAAGAGAATCTTATTGAGACCCTCGCTACTCAAGGCAAGGATCCAATGTTTGCCTCATCTGGGAGTTTTTTAGAAACAGAATCTCAAGTCCCTGCGCCTCCCAGACCTATTGATTCAGAACCTGTGTTTCAACAAGATTTCATGATGATTCTTGTTCACGTTAGTTTCTGAGAAGTCCTGGTATAAAAGCCCCACATGAGCCAGGCAGCTGCTGAGGTCTGAGAAGGATGAGTGACGATCGCAGTGGTGGACAAGCATGGTGGCCAATATTTCTGTGCATGAGAAATACTTTAGTAACAAAACGTGCCTGATATGCACACATAAATAAATAGCAAAGGAAGAACGGCCTGCACCAGAGATAAACTTGTTTTGGCACATCATAAATACAGTTTTGAGGCCCTGTTTCTTAGAAAATAACCTTAAATGGAGACTGTCTTAAGGAGGCCACTGGGTGTAAAAGTCTCATTGTCCAAAAGCTGTTTTCATCATTCCTGAGGGTTTCAGAATGTTTTGGCGTTTTCGATTATTTGAGAAAATGGTTATTACAGAGTCTTCTGAGATTGGACCATCAAGGCCAAAGTCAGCCTTTCCTGACTGAAGTGGAATTCTTGGGTGTGTGACCATATCCTCCTTCTCTGCAGGATGCTATTTGTGTTTGCAAAAGACAGAAGAATGACTTGCTGGTTTTGCTTTCACACTGTGAATTTTCTCATCAAAAAAAACAAAAAACAAAAAACTAAACAAAGCAAAACAAAAAAAAAAACGTTTAAAAGTAAGATAGGAAGTTGATAAATTTGAAAAATCTTTTTGGTCGGATTTTAATATTTTTTGCCTGTGTTTCATCAAATGATCTTTTGTGGCTACATCTATAAGCTGTGTTTTAAAATATGAACTCCACAACAATATGGCACACAGATTTTCTGGATTAACTTTACAGAATACCTGCCCGTTGGGTACCCCATACCGAGCACCATGCGTTTACACCTTTCATTTTAATTTTTTGCTGGCATCGTTAAAAAAAATGCCAAAGGAAACAAGTAGAGTGGGGTATAGAGGACACAACAAAAAGGAAAGAGTTGTTATTGAGCTGATCTGAAGTCCGGGGTTGAAGGGTCAAATTCATGGTACCTGCAAGACGGAGGAAAATCTGAGGTCACGCACTGGAGGGGGCGCCGTGGAATACTCAGACCCTGACAGTCCAGCATCAAAACACCTTTTTCAAAATTAGGATCAGAAGCGGAAGTGGAGAAACAAAACCTCCGTGAGTAGGATAGACGGGAAATGGTAGAGATCCTGGAAAACGACAGCCGTTGCCTTTTAACTTGGAAACCGTAGGCGCGGGTTTCGTTTCTCTGGTCGCAGGCATTTGTTCTGACGTCGTCTAAAAGCAGGTCGGAGCGCTGAGTCTGCCACCCATTCGCTGTGTAACCCAGGACGAACGACTTACGCGCTCTGACCACCAGTTTCCTTATCCATAAAGTGGAGCTAATAATGGGAATTAAGTTATGAATCGCCAGTTATGATTTATGGAACCGCTGTAAGGAATAAATGAGGGACCGTCAGGAAGACATTGTCCAATGTCTGACGAAGAGTAAATTTGCTGTAAATATTGACTTGGATGACCATATCAATATTCTATACGATATTTATGAAATTTAAAAGACTGTGCGGGGTCCGATTGTGATTGCCTTTCATAACTTATCGGTTCGTTCATAGCTTGCCGGAGGCCAGCAGTCAGGGGAGCGGACACGTGAGTGCGTGAGAGCCCAAGCTTACGTCTGGCTGATGTCCCCTGCGTGAAAGAGCCATCAGCAAATCTCGTGGCTATGCTGTTCTTTAGCAAATCCTCTAGGGCATTGATTTAAACAAAGCCCTTTGTTGTACCACAGACTTTAGGATAAAAATGTATGATGAGGGTGAAGGGCAGTGGGCTCTGGTCAGAACCTTCCCTTCCCTGATGTGTCAAGGACCAGTTGAGAAAGAAGTGCCCAAGGAAGAAGGCAAACGAGAAGAGAGGCAGAGGAAGGAGGATTCCAGAATCGAAGACAGACTGGGATTCAAAGAGAGAGGGAGTGATCCGCTCTGTCATCACTGAAACAAAACAGAGGGCTGCAGGTCAGATAAAGACTCAAAAGTATCCATTGGCCCTGGCCACTTGGAGGTCACGGGTGACCTCTGCAGGGGTCATCAGGAGAGACAGGGTGGAAGGCAAACTCGCGCTGAGGAGTGAAGAGGAGGCGATGAGCTACAGCCAGCAGGTGTAGCCGTTTTTGTTTTTGTTTTTTGTTTTTTATAAAGCTTGACATGGAAAAGAAAGACAAGGAAAGGAAGATCTAGAGGAAGCTGTATATTAATATGAGGAAATATTTTTATATTTAAGGGCTGAGAGGGAAAAGGCAGCATCTAAAGGAGAGTTGAAGTGTCTCCGAAAGGAGACACCTCTTGGAACAAGGTTACAGTTTTGATCTGTGGCCACGATCCAGGGAGAACGGAAGGTGAAAAGATCTCATCCTTTCACGTAGGAGGAAAGAAAGGAGGGGCAGACGCAGGTGTTGAAACTGTGTAGATTGGGGAGGAGGGGACGTTGAGTAGGGGGCTTGATGATTATAAGGATCATTTACAGTGATCTTGGAATAGGATGCAGTTCTGGTGGGGGTGGCGGGGCGGGGGTGAGCAGCTAAGACTGGAGAAGCGGCATTTGCTGTGGCGGCACCTCCCATCCGCTAAGATGTGGAGCTCTCTCCATGTTCCCAGCAGCCAGGGGTAGACATAAAGAAAGTTAGGAGGAAGTAGGATTCCTCAAGCTGACAGGCTGACGTACCTTGGGTCCCCGTGGTCCAGGCACGCCTTCAGGACCTGGGAATCCTTTCTGGCCAGGAGACCCAGGGGGTCCAGGAAAACCTTTATCCCCCTATTAAAACCAAAACGAGACAGGAAAGACACAGAATGGCAAACATCATTCAGCAACACACACAGCCTTAAACATCTTTCTTTTCTTTGTGACTTGATAACATTTTGCGTACGTTTCCCTCAGATGTAACAAAATAAAATAAAATAAAATAAAATAACACTTAGCAGTGAGTGTATCAGTAACTGGCCAGCTGCCAGCTGTTAGCATTTGTCTACGAGTTTGGAAGTGCTGCCCGGAGCTATAAAAACTCTCCCCCAAATGGCAGAACTACACAGAGCAGAGGTTAAAGGAAGAAATCAAGAATGGAGGGGAAACCCAGTTAGAAAGACAGAGGTTAGTGGAGAGTGTTTGCTGGGGGCTGGAGGGAGAGTGAGGATAAGGGACAGAAATGTGTTTGGGAGTGTGCAAAACTGCTCTGCAGCTTGAAAAGAACATGCAGGCTATGGGTTTTGGTCCTTCCTTGGTTGCACGGAAATGAGTAATTCAACCTGATGTTCGTGTAGGAGATGCGGGGGAACTATCGAGGGTGGCATCCCCAAGAGCGTGAGCTAAATAGCTTTTTAGAAAGAGTCAGATGATATTACAGGAAAGCCTAGTAGTGAGTGAGCGAAAGTCATTTAGGCCCAGTGAGTGATGTGGCTCTGCCCACGAAGACTCTTCCCATTGACATGGATCCTGGGGTTATTCTGTAACAGTAAAGGCTATCAGTTGATTCAGTCAATTTAGTGACACAATTGGCAAGTCAAATTTTGAAAGGGAGAGGGAGAGGGAGAGGGAGAGGGAGAG